TTGATTGCATTAACTGGAATTTCCTCTTCTCAATGTTAACAAATTTTGGATTTGGTCACAAATGGATTTCCTAGATTCAGGAATGTGTCTCTACTGCAAGAATTTCAATACTTGTCAATGGCTCACCAACTAAGAAATTTAGCCCACAGAAAGGTCTCAGACAAGGTGACCCCTTATCATTATTCTTGTTTAACTTGGTTGTAGAAGCACTAAATATACTTCTTCAGAGAGCTATGGATCTGAGATTGTTAAAAGGGATAAATATTGGGACCAATCAGGTGCAGATGTCTCATCTATAATTTGTAGATGACTCTTTACTATTTTGTGAAACTGAGCTGTTAGAAGTCCTTAACTTGAAAAGGGTCCTCAGGTGCCTTGAAGTGGCATCAGGTCTCAAAATAAACTATCATAAAAGTGTGATTTGTGGGATTGGAATTTCTGACCCTCTTCTTGATGAGTTTGCATCCCTACTGAAAAACAGGACTCAAAAACTACCACTCAAGTATTTAGGTTTGCCTTTAAGTGCTAATCCTAGAAGAAAGTCAACATGGAAACCTATTATGGATAAGTTTAAATTGAGGTTGCTGGTTGGAAAATGAGACTTCTCTCTTTTGTTGGTAGATTAACTCTGGTCAAAGCTGTGCTGTCCAGTTTACCTGTGTATTATTTCTCTATTTACAGGCTGCCAGAAGGAATTGCAAAGGAGATAGATAAAATGCAAGCCTCATTCTTATGGGGAGGCTTAGACCTAAAGAGGAAAATTCATCTAGTGAAATGGTTGGAGGTAACTAAGAGCATAAAGCAGGGTAGGCTAGGTAGCAGAAGAGTTAGGGATGTGGATGTATGCTTGCTCCTAAAGTAGTGGCGACATTTTTCCACTGATCATGATTCATTATGGAAGAGGGTTATCTGCAGCAAATACAGATTTCATGGAGGGCAATGGTTCCCAAATCTCAGCCTAAGTAACAACTTCTCTCAAATTTAGAGTGGTATTGTAACAGCAGTGGAGCTGAAAGAATCTCTCTTGTTATACTATGTTAGTAACCTTCAGTTAAAAGTAGGCAATGGTTGTCGAATCAGGTTCTGGCATGATAAATGATGTGGAGATCTTTGCCTTAAAGATGAGTTCTTGAGACTGTTTCGACTGTCTATTGATAAGAAAGGAACACTTAAGGACTTTGTGGGTATCTCCTCTAAGAGTTGGTTGTTTACATTCAGGAGGCCCCTCTTTGAATGGAAAAAGATTGAGCTACTCCGACTCAATGGCATCTTATCATCAGCTCCTGCATTGAATTTGGAGACCTAAGACATTTCTCTCTAGGTAGCAGTCAAACCTGGGCAGTCCCTTGTTTCTGTTTTTTATAACCATACCAGTCTTGTTTTGGGTGACACTATTAGCTCAAGTAGAATGGTGTGGATTAATTATTTACCACCCAAAGTGCAATTCTTTGGCTGGCTAGCTTGGAAGCACAAGGTAAAAACCTCTGTGTTCCTGCAATGAATTGGTGTTTTGGATAGGTCTGCCTTTACCTTGTGCACTTTCTGCAAAGCCCAACAGGAAACAATAGAACATGTACTAATCCTTTGTCCTGTGGTATGAAGAGTTTGGACTGGGCTGCTGCAGTGGTGGGGGGCTTGTTAGGTAGTTCCTGGATCTGTTAAGGGCCTGTTACATTGGTGGACATGTCACTGCTATAGGAAAACTGAACGGCGAGCTATACCTCTAATGACTCTCTGGTCGATCTGGAAACATAGAAATGAGTGTCTATTTCAAGATTTCCAACTTAAGTTGCAGAAGTTGCAAGAGCTCATAATCACTAGACTTGCTATCTGGTTAAAGGCTTCTTCCAAGGAGATCCAATTTTCGATAAATGACTTTCTTTACAACATCTCAGGAGTGAGGAACTGTATTCAAGTATAGTTCTGTAGTGAGGTTTTGGCTGAGCAAATAATCCTCTGTTGCTACTGTCTTCTACTGCTATCCTATTTTTGGTGGTCCTATTGGGCATTCCTTACGGTGCCTCTCAATGGTTTGGAGCTGCTTTGGCACTGGTTTTGCTTTGATCTGCTGTGATCAATTTTGCACTGGTCTGAATGGTGGTTTCTCCAACCTCTTATGGCTGCTACTGTGAGGATTAGAGTGAATCTAGGTGAAGTTTTGCATCAGAAATGGAGGTTGAATGATTTGGCTCAAGTCTGGTGGTATACAGAGTAAAAGGTGTAGAAGGTCACTAGTCTTTTACTCTACTGTTGTCACTCTGCTGCCAATACTCTACTTGCCCATATGAGCTTTTCAATGGTTCATCAGTCTATGCTCAGGTCTGGTTTATTATGTTTTGTTGATTGGCTTGATGATTGGCTGTTGCTATTTTTGTTGCTGCTGATGTGCTGTTTTGTAGTAAAGGAATGTGTCTAAGGGCTGCTAAACGATTTGGTGTAAGGTCTAATACTGTATGGTCTGATGTCAAGGTCTGGTGTAAGGTCTGAATGCTGCTATTCAGTGGATTGGTCTGGTCTGTTTGATTGGTTTGGACTGTGCAGCTATTATGAGGTTATGAGGCATCTGTGCATTTTGTTCTTGTCTTTCTTTGGTGCCTTTTGATTGGGTTCTTACTAATATTGGGTTAAGTGCTTGTAAATGATTGTGCTCCCTTAGCGGTACCAACCTAATTGTGATTGATAAGGTTAGTGTTGATACTTTTTGCACTTCCCTCTTTGTTGATGTAAGCTTTCGCATGTATTACTTTCTTCATTAATAAAATTCATTTTGTTGATAAAAAAAGAAAAGAAAAAAAAGTTAACAATGAAACTTGGGTTTTAATATATTTACTCTCCTTGCACCTAATGTCAAATTTAGGCAAGTCATAAATTTTTAAGAGAGTGGAAGAAGAAAAAAATTACGTTGGAAAAGAGAAAATTATTAAATAATCTTGGCATTTCACAAATAAAAAAGAGTAATTATATATAAATAAGTATTTTACACGTAATTTTCATACAAAAAGATGCGGCCCTTCATTCTCATTTCATTTTCAAATACGAAACTTTTCATTATGACTTAAAGTTTTAATATTGTATCATTATGACTTAAATCACTTTTCATTAAGAAATCACAAAACAAATTTAAATGCATCATTTATTATCTTTTAATTACTTAACAAAAATAGATTACTATCACCATTAATTAAAAACACTACATAAATAATAGTAATGCTACAGGAGCCAAGGAAATGACCGAATAAATGACCGAACTCCTAGTTGGATTGCCATCTAAGAAGAGTGGGTCCTGCCACTAAACAACTCTTCTACTCTCACCCCAAAAAACACACAAAGGATTCTCTAGAGTGTTTTTTTTTTAAAATTTTTTAAAGTGGTGTATTATGTGGTTAAGATTTAATGTTGAAAAATTGATGTGACTTGTTATTAAATCTCAACTACACAATCCACCACTCTAAAAAACTTTAAGAAAAAAAAACTCTAAAAAGATTCTTGCGCTAAAAAACAAAGAAGAAAAAAAACAAAGCAACTCTTTTACTTCATACAGAGAGAGAGGGAGAGGGAGAGGGGTTTCCTAAGAATCTTCGCTTATCTTATACCAAAAAATAAAAAAATAAAAAAAAAACTAGAGAGAGAGGAGTTGATTGCATTTTCTCTTGAGAAAGCCAAAGACGACTTCTGACTGAGGTTCTCTATGGCAATGGGGTTCTCTTGTTCTCTAAGCCAAAGACGATCTCCTCCAATTGTTCTCGTCCTCCGGCGGTCCTCTCCCAGTCACGCCACCCTCTCTCCTTCCTTGTTTTTCTTCTTCCTTCTTTCTTTGTTCTTTTAGATCTAGAAAAAAAACAGAGAAAGAGGGATTTGCACTTGCCCCTTTGGCTTCACTCCATCTCTCTTTCTCTCTCTGTGTATATATATATATATATATGTTTATAAATCAAAACAAACAAATAAACAAATAAGCAATATATGAAACAAAACAATAATATGTGGGTTTCTTTACTTGGATTGTCCAAGTTCAGGTGAAGAAATAGTTCTCCAAATATTAATCTTTGTTGATGTTGTTGTGATACTCAAATTATATACAATAAATTCATTTGTTTCATACATTTTATGGCATAAATGATGTTTATTTTGTTCGATCCCATAAACGATATTTACCTTCTGAAAATATGTTTGAGTAATGAATGTTAAATACACAAAGAAGTGGGTTTAATAGAGAGAGAAGTTAGAGAGAGAAAATGAAATATTCTATTGGAGTTTGTTGGTGGTGGCTAGAATTGAAAAGCAGTATTACTTGTATGGATTCAAGATGGTTAATTTGAAAACTTTTTCTCTAATAGCAAAATTGGGTGTGGTTTCTTTTAGATCTAGAAGAAGAAAAAGAATGAAAGAAAGAAAGGAGGGAGGGGGTGATGCGGCTGAAAGAGGGTCACCATAGGCGGAGCAAAACTGGGTGAGGATTGCCCGAGGGCTCGCCAAAGCTGGTGGACAGGTGGCCGGAAATGTTGGGGTGTGAAGAACAAATTACTTTTTTTTTTTTTTTTTTTTTTTTTTTTTTTTTTTTTTTTTTTTTTTTGGGGTGAGAGAAGAAGAGTTGTTTAGTAGTGAGACTCACTCTTCTTAGGTGGCAATCCAGCTAGGGGTTTGGTCATTTATTCAGTCATTTTCTTGGGCCCCTGTAGCATTACTACATAAATAATAAGAAAAATGTTTGGAAGCATTAATTAGTACTCCCACTAATTAGGTGGCAGTGGGTTCCGCCATTAATGATGTGATGTTTTGATCTTGGAGTTGTATTTTTTTTTTTTTTTTTCTTTTTTAATGCATTAGTGCTATTAGTGGTGATGTTTTTAGTGAAATAAATCATCGGTGAAATAACAACTTTGCTGCGACTCCACCGGGTGAACCCTAGTGGCCCCGTGTCACGTGTTAACTTGTCATTGGCAGAAAATTAAAAAAAAATAAAATAAAAAATTGTTTTTTGGGCTAATAATAGAGGACTCTAGCACTCCCACTTGAGATGTGAAGCTTTATTTCATAAATAATACCAGAACTCCAAAACTACCTAATAATTACATTTTGAAAAAAAAGAAAATGAAAAAGTTATTCCCGATAACCACATTGGAAAAGAAACAAGTATTTCTCGATTCCCTCCTCTTTTTTATTCTTACTTTTATCCTTTACAAAACTAGTTAGTAGTACTACTACTTTAGTAAAGGGAAAATACTTAAGCTTCAACAGCTCTTTGGCTAGTGTTTGGTTCCTGAGAAAAATTCCCATTTTTCGGCAACTCCGAAGATGTTCCATGCACTACTGTAACTACAACATGGTCTCCATCACCGTCACCGTTACCATTGCCAACCGGTTTCGCACTTCCTCTTCGAAACAACTGCGGTTTCTCAGTCCCTCCCATTTCTTTCTTGAAATGTGCTTGTTGTGAAAGATCTTGAGTACAGTCTGCAACTTTTTCGACACATTTAATGATATCGGTTAGTATCGAGGCTGCAGTAACAGCCGGGATAATTTCCAGGAGGTAGGCTTCGTCTCCCGATGAGGTTGTTTCTAGGGCTGTTTTGAGATCATCCACAGCTTTTTTAGAGTTCTCAATATGTACATTAAAAGAAGATGAGTGTGTCATGGTTTTCATCGCTGACGCTAGTTCTTTCAAAGCCTTGCCGGATTCTGAGCTCATCTTCATGCATGGTACTTGAATTTTTCTTTGGAATTCTGTTGGTGTCTGCAAGAAATTAATGGATACATGAGTTTGTGTGTGCATTTTTTATTTTTTTTGGGGGGATAATGAAAGGTTCAAATATGTTGGCCAAATTGCATAAACTATTTTGTTGATTATAAATCTTATTAATAAAGAAAATGAATTTCCTAACTGGGTTTTTAGAAAGTTTTGTATTGACTAATTGGTTTGGATACCTTACAAAAGTTTAAAAGGTATTAAAAAAGTAAAAAAATTCACATTATTTGAGAAGAAGCTTGTGGGGGAAGCTTAGAGGGTAAAATTATTATTTTGCTTTTTAAATTCAATTATCTAAAAAGTTAAAAAATTATTCTAAACATACATATTTTTTTTCTACTTTTTTAGTTAAAAAATTAAAAAGTACACTTATATAGCATATCCCAAACAGTTAAATGATCTGAAAACAAAGAGGGAAAATTTTAAATTTTTGGGTTAAACACACTTTGAAACTCTCTAATTTACTTTAAAATTATATATTTTATTCTTTAATTGTAAAAGTCAACTTTTTCATTTATGGTCAAATTGCAATGTTAACTCTACGTGTGTTGCCATTATATGGGTTGATAGAAAATGTCCGCTTGGCATTTGTAAAGACTGCCGCATGTGCACAGCATGACATTTTCCTTCAGTTCATATAATTGTTGTTTGTAAGAAATTAAATGTTATAATTAATCGAGAGGCTTAGGGGTTGGTTGTATGGATGCGAGTAGCAGTAGTAGGGGTATTTTTATACTTTCGAATCTCTCTCGATGCATCTCATCTTCCTGTACTTTTAATTTCATGCTATTTAATGAAATTTTTCTTTGCTGATCAAAAAAAAATTAAAAAAATAACGGATCAATGTAAAATCTAAAGTCAAATGAAAGGGTAAAAGAATTATTTTTAACCTAAATTGTAGGTATTGAACAATATATAGCAATTCCTACTCTATATGCTTTTCTTGGAAATCTAATTGGGATGTGAAAAGAAAAAGAATAATTTATTCCTTACAAGTATAGTTCTTTATGTTAATTGGATGCTGAATTATAACAATTCACATGAAAAGTGAGTGAGAATAGTTTAAACACCAAAGTTAATGACTTAGTCACTTTTGTGGGTGATCTCACATAACGAAAGTCATTTTCTTTTCCCTCTATGTATTTATATTTTTCAACCTCTTTTGTTTTGATTATCAGTAATGATACGTATTCATAAAAAAAACTTAAAAATTGGATTTAGAATTCAAAATTTATAGATTAATAATTTATTTTAAGTATAGTAATACCTGAATTTCAGAATTTATGTAGACGCATAGAGTTTCAATATGAAAGGCACACTTTCGAGTTAGAACTCCAATCTTCAAGTATTGTGTCCATGGATGACGGAACTGGAAACTTCCATGACCAGGTTCCCACCATGCAAAGTTTGCCTGAAAGATTTGGAAATATTTGAGTTAATTATCATAGCCCAAGGTACCAAAAAAAGGAAAAAAATCAATGAATTGTATGACATAAATGAAGTTGAGTAAATCACACTTTGTATCTCACTTTTCTCTTGATTGTGACTAGCATCTCTCATGTTTTTAGTTAAGTTATAATGGGATCCGACTATTAAAAAAAATTGATGAAAATAATCACATAATAGTTATGTACAGTTGTTATGTGATTATTTTTGTGAGTTTCTTAGAAGAATATTAGGAATAGATAAAATTGAAATTAAATGAAGAGTTTTAGATTGACTGTTATAATTAAAAAGTTAAGAGACAAAATGAGAGTTAGTGATACAAAGTACAATTATGCCTCGTTTAGGAGTAAGTTTTTTTAGTATTTTTTTAATTTTTTGGTTAAAATATAATGAAAAAAAACTAGTATGTTTGGGATGATTTTTTGATTTTTTACCAAAAAATGTGAAAAAAATAAAAAGAAAAGGGAATCTTTGACTTTTTGGTATAAGTTATTGACTTTTTGATATTTTTAATAACTTTTAATTTTTAAATTAAAAAGTGATGTTGCTAAACGAGACCTTAGTCTATAAAAATTCATCAAAATGTTCAATATTAAGCGAGTTCGAGAGAAGACGATTTAGTTTACTCACCAAAGATTCTTCAGTGGTTTTTGTGTTGAGGACACTTTTATAGCTTTGAAGAAATGATTTATTTTCCTTTGGGACCATAACACCATCTCCACCATCTTCAGAAACTTTAAAATATTCACCTCCAAATCCTGAAAAATGTTTTTGCTGTTAGAATTGGAAAACAAAAGCAAGTAGTAATTTTTTTTTTTTTTGACTTTTTATTTATTTGAATTCTTGTGATTGTACCTTCTAGGAAGCTTGCAAGATTTTCTATGTTGTTAACAACCAGATTATGAAGATCTTCACCAGCCCATACAGGGCAAACAAATATGGATATGAGCATGCACATTGCTCCGCCAAGCATGATCGTCGATAATCTTTGATGGGCAAGCTCTAAGATTTTTTCAACTCGATAACCAGAGACCGATACCAAACTGAATGTCAGTATGAATATCAGGACTCCATAATCATACCGAGCCTTGATATGCGGAACGAATCTTGTGTATGTTGATGCTGCAGCTGCACACATACATTTGATCAGTATATATATATATGTATAAGGGAGTGAGGCATTGCTGATCTGTTGTCTTTGTTTTCTTTCTTGGTTGTTGCTTTTTTTGGGGGCGCTTAGCATGCGATAGGATGTTCTTTTTGATACTAACTTAGTTAGAATGATTTATCTCATTATGATACTTTGTGCACCTTTCTCTTTTTATTGATGTTTTGATATTTTTGTGTATAAATCTTGTACCTTTCATCGTCATCAATAAAGTTTTTATTTTTTGCTGATAAAAATATATATATATATATATATATATGGGTTTTAAATATGTGAAAAAGAATCTTAGTTAGTTTACTTTGCAAAAGAAACAAAAAAGTTTGTTAAGGGAACATTAATTTTTCAACTGTTTTTTATTTTTTATTTTCTTTTTTAAAATTGGGTTTCACATGACTTACTTAAATTTTCAATTTAAAAAAAAAATTAAAAATTTTATTTTATGGCTTTTGGGCCTACTCTTAAAATAAAGCTCAATACTTATAATCACTCACAAATTACAAGTTAGGATGCATAGATTTATGACTGGTTTCAAAGTTCATCTCTATAATCTGTGAGCTACCAGTGCGGATTCAAAAAAATTATATTTTGAGAAATTTTCTCTTTTCCTCATTATACTCTTATTTCTTGGTAAGGAAATAGAAAGTGTTTATATATATATATATATATACCTAGTAAGAAGACCAAAATACCAAGAATATAAGGCTCTCCTTTGTCTCCAAAAAGGTTTGCTAAGTGTTGGGCTCCAACCCCTAGAGCACCAGCTAGCAATGTTGCCAAAACTCTGTTCATGCTTTTTGATAGGGTTGCACCTGCAAAAAAGAAAAAAGGAAAAAAGAAAGGATTCAATTTCAATTACATTATTCAAACCCACAAGTTTTTATTTTATATTTTTTTGGGATAGGTTATAATTATAAGCAAGTTTTGTGGTATGATATGGACTTACCAACTGAGAATTCAAAAACAACCACCACAGTGAAAACAGCCCACATGCTTGATGACCCAAAACCATTGTACAATGGTCTTACATAGTAGAATAAGGACACTAATGTGATAGCTAATCCAACTTTGAGAGAATGGGTGATTCTTCTTGGATCATCTTGTCCAACCTTCTGTATTTTCTTTGCTAAATCTAATGCCTTGCTCTTAATCCGACCACACCCATGAGTGATATGGGCTAATAACCCAGTTTTCGCTTGGGTTTTTGATTCGAGTTCCATGGCTGGAGATTGGAGAGGGAGGGCTAATTTTGATGGGATGGAAGTGTTGAGAGAGTGAGAGAGAGAGAGAGAGAGAGGGGAAGTGCACTTTGGAGGGTCCTCACAAGCTTAAATTTATAAGTAGTGAAGGTGGGGTTCAACTTAGAAATATATATATATTTTTATTGATTAGTGAATGCATGTGTTTGGAGGAGAAAGATTGAGAGGAAAAAAACTTTCTTTGACAAGAAAATGGAATTTTGAAGGTGGCTGACTAGGCTTTTGGTTGATCTGAACCACTTTTAATTACTAAAAAAATTAGCAAAGTTTATATTAGCCAGGGACTACCTAAACCTTTTAGGTCATGTTTGTTTGGGTAGACATGAGGTTGGGATTGGACTAATAGTCCAATAAAATTATTAATCTGATGTTTGGTTAAACAATTAAAGTACGGACTAATTATTTTAAACTTGACTATTAGTTAAGATAGGATACATAATCCAACGGATTCGTAGTCCTAGGACTATTAGTTATAGGAATGCTAATCCAGCCCGGCCAAACAAACATGACCTTAGGGTACTAAATGTTTAATGTTATATAAATTAAAAAAAGTTATTTAACTTTTTTATTTATTTATTTACTCATGTAACACTTGTTATATTATTAATTTTTTTTTGGTTACTTTATATAATAGTTTTCGTATATTTCCAATATATTGCCCATTTGCCTTTTTCCTCAAATCTCTCTATGGATGCCAATTTCTACGATCTCAGTATGCTTAATGGACACTATACACTGTAAAGTTTAAAACATGCACTGTCTCCCACTCTCCATGGTTTTCAGACTCACTCAGATGACTCAGAGTCTGCTGAATTGGCCATGCTCTTATTGCGAAGGATTATGTTGTTGGATATGTACTAAGAATTTACACTTTTGATATCGGTATTAAATAGTCTATAGTCTGATATTGGTTAATTACAGTCTGCGATTTCAGGAATTTTTTTTAAGGTGTTTACCGTGGGCATTTCAGAAATTATTTTCAGGGTAGACATTAAAAAGTTTAGGTAGTGTTTGGTAGAATTTAGAATTACGATTTGAGATTTGTAAGTTTTGGAATTATTATTTGAAAAGAGAAAATTTATTTAGTTTTGAGTTTTGAAAATAATTTTGAATTGAATTTTGAAGTTTTTGATGTGACATATAAAATGAGAAAATTTGTTTGGTTATGAATTTTGAAAAGAGTTTTCAAAACTTAATTAAAAACTTATAATTTATAATCAAACACACAACTCAAAACTCTATTCAAAATTTTATTCAAAATTCATAATCAAACTTTTTTTTAAAATTCAATTTTAAAAAATAATTTGTCATTTTAGTCTATAAAAAATATCAAAAACAATATAATTTTTTTTCTCCAAATAACAAGTGGCGATTGACAATTGTAAAAAAAAAAAATATATATATATATATACATTGTTCCGGTTTACTAGCCGGACGACCAAGTACCAAACATGTTTTCAAAATGTGTTTTGAAATTGATTTGAAATCATGATTTGAAAACTCTAACCAAACATGTTATTCGAATGTAAAGGTGGAATTAATTTTTGAAAACTTTACCAAACACATTATTTTTTTTAGACTTTTCAAATCACACACAAATAAATAAATAAAATAAAATTTTAATACATTGATATCAATGTTTTAAAAAATAAAATGTAGATACAAAAATAAATTTATTTTGTTTTTATCCACTACAAGAAAAAGCACCTTTTGCGACTAAATTTTTAGTTGCCAAAAGTCGACTTTTCACTTTCCCCGACTAAATATTTTAGTCGCCGGTTTTGTCATGAATACATGGTCGCCAGAGGTATTGGTGACTAAAAAAGTTTTAGTCGGCAAAAAACAAGTCTTTAGCGACCAAAGCTTTTGTCGCCAATAGTCAATTACATTTTTGAAAATTATATATTTACCGACTAATCTTTTAGTCGCCAATAGTGAATTATTATTTTTTATTTATACATTTGCTGACTATTTTTTTCGTTGCCAATAGTCAAGCTTTTGGCGACCACACATTTTAGTCGCCAAAAGCATATTTCAGGAAAAAAAAAATTACCCTCTGTTGTTCCCAAGTTTCGAACCACCAACCTCCCACATTCTAAACCTTTACCAACACACTCTCCCCACTATGCCACTACAGCATCACATGAATATAAATGCAACATATATTATTTATATAGCATATTGGCCGGTATTAATACAAAACTATATATATAAAAATAATTATTTTTATTTAATATAATTATGTAAAAAATAAATTATTTACTAAAAAAAATAGGAGACCACTTTTGGCGACTAAATCTGTTTTTTAGTCGCCAATTCTATACTTTTTGGCTACTAATTACTTTTTTATCGCTAAAAGAATTAATTCCCGCCTAAAACCTCCACTTTTGGCGACTAAACTGAATTTTAGTCGCCAAAACCATCCACTTTGGGTGACTAAACTGAATTTTAGTCGCCAATTGTTGACTTTTAGCTACTAAATATTTTTTAGTAGCCAAAAAGCTTCACTTTTGGCTACGAATTTTTTTTTTCGCCAATTCTATATTTTTTTTTTTAATCTGCAGCAAGTATAATTTGGATGTAAACAGCTGGAGCCCCTCTTCCTTCCCTAGCAGCAGGCTCTCTTGTGTTTGGAAAGGTATTATATCTATACCAGAGAGGAGAAATAGCCTGATGGTATTTTACCTCAATAACGTTCATATCAAGGTAGGGGATGGGAATAGAACATTCTTCTGGAAGGATATATGGTGCAACAATTCTAGCTTGAAAGATGAATTTCCAACTCTTCACAGACTGGTTGTGAATAAGGAAGAAACCTTGAGATCAATATATGACAGGAGGGTACATTCAGGGGCTTGGAATTTTCAATTCAGAAGAAGGTTATATGAGTGGGAAGAGAGGGAAGTTAGTAGGCTTAATTTGCTCCTGGCTTCTGCATCTGCTCCATGTTCTGTTCTGTTCTGGAGGACAAATTAGTCTGGTTAGCTGAAGGATCTGGGTCATTTTCTGTCTCCTCTGCATATAATAATGAAATTGACTCCCTTAGTCCCTCTCTCATTTCTTGCAAGTTTGTTTGGAACTCTCTTGCCCCTCCTAAGGTTCAATTCTTCTGTTGGTTAGCATGGAGAAATAGAATCAAGTCAGCTGATTTTCTTCAGAAAATTGGAGTGATACAAGCCAATGCTCCTGCTGCATGTGTTTTTTGTAATTCTGAGCATGAATCTTCTACTCATCTCCTGCTGCATTGCTACTTTGCTTGGAAGGTTTGGGCTGATATGATGGACTGGTGGGAGTTGAAGGGGGCTATTCCAGGTTCAGTAGAAGGTATACTTCACTGGTGGGCTGGTGTGTCTTTGAACAGGAAAGAAAAATGGATATGGAAGGTCATTCCCTTAGCTGTCATATGGTCCCTGTGGAAGCTTAGGAATGAGTGCATCTTCAAATCTGCTTCGCCTCAATCCGTGGACCTGTGTGAGTTGATCAAAATAAGAGTTGCACTGTGGGTCAAACACCAATTCAAGGACTGCCATTTCTCTGTTCAAGATTTCTTAATCAACCTGAGGCAAATAAGATTGAGTCTGGGAAGCAGATCTGCCTTAGGCAGCTGACATTTGGTTGGAGCTGTCTTGAGGTTGCTGCAATGGAGATGCTCCTGCTGGGGTATTCCTGTCTTAGTGGGCTGCTTGGTTGATAACTTTCCAACCTTATTGCCCTGTTTTGCTTTGGCTGTGTCAAAAACAAGAAAAAATATAATCTTGCTCTGCTCTGGGTTGCTGATCTGGCTTTGTTATGGGATGTTATTGATCTTTATCAATAAAACTTGCTCTGGGCTGCTGCTGGTATGGAGTTTGGTGCTTACATTTGTTATGGGCTGGTTTATGGAGTCTGCTGCTGATATGGAGTCTGATATGGAGTCTGCTGCTGATCATTGCTGGTATGGTGTTCGAGGCTGCTGGTATGGTGTTTGGGGAGTACAACTGTATTATGCTTTCTTTTGGGTTGGTGTCTCACCAACTGTGAGAGTTGTTAGCCTTTGCTCTTTGCCTTTTTATTGATAATTGTCAATGTTTTTGCTTGATATTTATCTATAAAATTCCTCTTTGGCTGTTTCAAAAAAAACACATATAATCGACGACCAAACTATTTTTTAGTTGCCAAAACCTATACTTTTGGCTACGAAATATTTTTAGTCGCCAAAAACCTTGACTTTTGGCTACTAAAATTTTTTAGTCGCTAATACCCATATAATCGGCGACTAAACTGATTTTTAGTCCCCAAAAACTATACATTTGGCTACTAAACTGTTTTAGTCGCCGAAAGTGCTACTTTCAGCGACGAAATTTTTTTTTTAGTCGCCATTTGTGCTTTTTGTTGTAGTGATCAGTAACATGACAAAAAAAGAAAAAAGAAAAAAAATTCATTTTATTCAAATTGAGATAAGTTATAAAACTAGAGAAATGCTATGTACCCAAATATTTTACCAAATATTCTACCAAACCTCTCATATGGGGTGAGACTCACACAAATCCACATGTGTGTAGGTCCCACACTCATGTGAGAGGTTTGGTAAAATATTTGGTAGAATATTTGAAGTCTCTAGCGTAACTCATAAAACTATTGATCAACATTAACATTCAAGTAATACACTTGTTAGGAATTGCAAAATCACCCAATTTTATCAAAGAGATACTTTGCATATGTTGAGGAAGCAAAACTCTAAAACATGCCGTGTGTTCACATCACAAAGCATATATATTGAATAAAAAGTTATGGATTGGGCTGCGTTTGGTGTTCAAGAAAGTGGGTTGGATGAGTGTTCAACTAGGTTGAGTGTTCAAGAAAGTGGATTAGGATATTCAGCATAAAGCTTTTGATTGAATTACATATTTATATATATAAAAGAAAAAGGTTTTCAGTTGAACACAATGCTTGGCGGTAGAGGCTTCCCCTGGTTGATCGTATCTCCGGTATTGATAAGTGTTCTAATACTATTATTTAAAGCTATGCCCATTGCTCAGTAATTAGAGGCCAACATAATTAGTGAGTACTTGACTC